GAAGGGCACTGTGGTTAGTGACTTCATATAGAAGTTTGTCCTGTGGCTTTTTATTGGGTAATGGGTTTTTCCACCATTAGATATTTTTATACCTATACTTTTTGAATAGGGTCAAACTGCGGGGGTGATAGCTTCTTCTGGTGTCATTAGAGACCTGCTCAAAAAAGCCAGGCTAAGTAAAGTACAGGTGAAGAGCAGTGGTCTTTCTATGCTCTGCCAATGAACCACAGCTCCTGCCCTGAGAAACCCACACTGTCTGAGCACAGAGGGAAAGTACTTTCATTCTTATTTAAGAACATGCCCTTTTTGTTGAGCTCAGAATATTAATTCATTTATAAATATTTTCTCTGTGCTTTTCAAAGTTTTTATTTTTAGTGAACATGTTGTTGCTGAAAGATGACAGAGTTGACTACTTTGGAGACCATTTTCCTCTGTTTACTTCAGTGTGATGTTGTGTGTAGACCCCTTGCCATGTATGGTGGGGAAATATTTTAAACCCAGTTGCTGAGGGTTTGGGAGGGTGATTTCACAAACCATGCCAAGTTACACCAGTCTGCAACATATACCTGTTGTGTAGGGAAGTGAGAGATGCTTGTGGGTTTGGTTTTTTTTTTTTTTAGTTTAGTTGATAGAAAAAGCAAAACTCCTAAGTACATCTTGGGCTTGGGTTATAACTAGCACCAGGTGTCATTGCATGAAGACTGATGCATGCACAACTGACACTTTTTAGGACAACAAAGCCTCATCTTATTTCAGCTGTACATGGCTCATCTTCTTGCTGGAAGTAGCATTTTGGATTGCACATTGAATTTATTCCTTTCTTTAGTTTTTCCTCTGGCTGTGGAAAGCCATTAACTTTGTATTTGACTTTAGCCACAGAAGGCTTTACTTTCATTTGTGGCAGCAGTCAAGTGTGACCCAGCCAGTTTTTCTGTGGACAGAAATTGGCCTACCATGCACTTGTACTCCAAAACAGTTACAGCCCCTTGTCAATGTTACTCCTGACCAGAGGGACCATCTTTTGTGGAGGAGAAGATAGAACATTCTTTATTCTCATTCAGTCCTTGGCCTTCCTGTTGATGTTGCGAACAAGGTGGTCAATTAGTGCCAGTTGCCAATGGGATTTTGTGATATGGACTGAGACCTCCAACTCATTTCATATACTTTACTGATCAGCCAATAGACAGGAACTCGACCTGGATTGGAATCAGTAACCTTGAGTCCAAATGGCAACCTGTGTTCTATTACGTGTCTCTTGTTTATGAGCTTGATGCTGTCTTTGAGCCCAGCTGCAGGGTGATCTGGTACAAAAAATCTGCAGATATGAAACTACTAGAAATGGGAGGGAGAGGCAGAGAGTGCAGGGAAGGGATGTTTTTATGAACACAGTAACATTTGTTCACCTCCTTTCATGAGCTCATTAATGATCAAATAGCTTTTGAAATAATAGAAAAGATACGAATTTTTTAACAGTGCATTTTAATTTTAATCCATTTTCCTTCCATTTCCTCTTTCCTGCCTCTGAAACATCTGCTGTCTTCTGGTGTTTGGTACAGGGAGGAGGGGAAAGAATATCTATTCTCACCATCCTTGAACTTTCCTGCAAAGTTCCCCACTTGCTAGTTTTTCCTCTTGTTTGTTGCCTAATATATAAGTCTGCAGCAGACCTACAGTATCTCTTTAAAATGGAAACCTTTTCTGCAAAGCATTCCTTTTCACCCTGTAAAAGTTCTGCACTGTAAATTTGCTCCAGCTTTAATAACCACTTTGCACCAGAGTCATAAATTTGAATAACTTCATGGAAGAAGATTTGCTGGAAAGTGGGTCACACAAACAGTCTTCTTCCTGACAGGTGCTGACACAGCCTGGTACAACAGCATTTTTCCTTTAAAAAATGAAGAGGCTACAGCAATTAACTTGCCTGCCTTCTTTTAAACTGCCGTGAGCCTGGTCCTGCCCTCCTTGCACCTTCAGAATTCCTGTTGGCATCAGTGGGAATTTTGGATCTGCAAGAAATGCAGGATCAGGAAGAGTAACGGCGTGTTTTCTCCTCAACTCAGACCCTAGACATTTAACTATTTCATTGCCCAGCTCAGCCTTCCTGTCTTCATTGAAATGTCAAGATGGTCTATCAAATAAGGGCTAATATCAGAGGCACAGAATTTTGGAGGGTTCATCTCTGAACTTCATGGGTAGCCCCTTGCACTCTAACAGGCCAATCTAAAACTCACATGTGACCCCCACCTTTACTTTGTGATCCTTGCCCATTTCTAGCTGTGATTAAAAAAAAAAAAAGGACAATACAGTTTGGATGCAGGCCTCCACTTTATGCCACATGGCTATGAGTGGGCTGGAAAATCTTAAGGCTCCCTCCTTTTACTCTCATTCTCATCAAGTCTGTTCTAATAATAATGTAATACATTTTGGCCTAATATAGAGTGTTCTGTCCAATGATGTCGAGTCTGAGCACTTTGCAAACCTTAATGAATTGCAGTAAATAACTTGCTCGGTGTCACCAGAAGGATCAGTGAGTGGCATAGCTGGGAGTTATTTTCAGCGCATCTGCCTTTTCAATACAGATTGGTTAGACTAACCGAACAGCATTCCTGACATTGCAACTTCCCATTTGCTGTTGCTGCTGCTGCTTCTGGAGGTATTTATCCATGTGAAAGCTTGACATGTATCAACATAAAGAAAAGCGATTCTCAGAGCAGGATAGTGCTAGTGTGGATTGTCTTCAAACCAGATCACATAATGTTCTGGAAAAGTGCTTGCATGTGGGAATAAGGTGTAGCGTTTGGATACAATGAAAGAAGTAATTCAAAGTAGCACAGAGTATAAGTTCATACTTAAGCACTACCTTTGATAAGAAATGTTATAAATTTCATGTGTGGTTTCAAATGTTTTAGAGTCTGATTCAAAACCCCCGATATCAATAGCGTATCAACTTATGCCATTGATTTACATGGACCGTGGATTAGCTAGGATGGACTCCATATCTTTCTGGCTCAGAGTGTGCTTAGTGCATGACAAACACTATATATTTACCATCATTTGCAAGTTACCAACCTTACTGGCAACCATACAAGTTACTGGCAATTACTCTTTATTAATACTTTTCTGGTGGCCTCACCAATTTTTCCAAAGCACAAGTTCTAAATTAAAAAAAACCCAACAACAATATTTCTGTCCTATATAGTTGTGAAGAAAGCCTTCCACATGTGAAAGTGCTGATGGCTCTGGTCCTAAGTCTACAGACAGCCTGAAACAGTAGTTCTAGTTGAGGTATGAACTTCCCTTTTCACCTCAGTGAGGTATTTTTTCAGAACCCTACTGGTTACAAATTCAGTGTCCACATTAACTATTTCACTGTTGATCGTTTTAACAGAAGCATCCAGCTATTCTGGACTCTTGGGTGGAGAGCAAGTAAAGAACCCCCTCTTTTTTCTCAATCCAACTTCTGTTTCCCAGTTTGAAATATGTCATGCTGCATGGCCACGTGAAGTAGCTCTTCCTGCTCCATGCTTGAGAACACCTTTAAACGCTAAGAAGGTTTTAACTCTTTGTTTATACCAGCCTAGAAGCTGAAGAAAGAAAAGAATTTGATAATGTGGCCTGATGGCAAGGGTAGGATTTCTCCCTACAGTATATTCTCCAGAGTTTTGCTCAGTCTTGTTTTAATTGGCTCAAATGATCAGGATTTCATGGTGTCCTTGGGAAACTCTTCCACCGTGTAATAAATCTGTCAGGAAGTTTCCTGACATTCAATATAATTTTCCTTTTTACTCATCCTCAGTCCAATACTCTTAGTTATACTCTCTTGTACTATCTCAGAAATTCACCTCTCTACTCATACATCAGTCTCTTCCTACCCCCTTTAATCATTTTTGTTGCATTTCTCTGAATTCTCTCCTATTTCTCCCTATTTTTCTTTTGTTGAGGTACCACTTGGAGTAAAAACAGATCAACCATCTATCTCTCCATCTTGTATGGAACATGTGGTATTCAAAAGAAAAAGAGCTAGGGCTTCTGCCAGCATTATAGATGGATCGGTCTCCTATTTTAGGATTAGAAAAATCAAGTGAAATGGTAGGTTAGCAAGCCAGGTCACGCTGCATTATTAGAAATGCCTTCCCCTGTGTCATCATAGCTGACCAGCGCAGAGTATGCTGAACGCATTTTCCCCAAGGCTTGTACAGAGTTCACACAAATGAAAGATTCCAAAATCTAACTTCCAGTTAGGTTGGGGGAGGGGGCAGTTTCATCCCAGATGTAACTCCATTAACTTCATTAGTATTACTGGTATCTGAGGCAGGATTTGGCTCAGTTTTTGGAGACATCTGATATTAACTCAAGTTTTACAGAATCTGTGAAATTTCTAGTAGTGTGGGGTCGAGTTTAACTTTGAGATCAGAGGCATGACTGATCTCTTTCCTGGCTCCACAGTTATGCCCCATAAAACTGCTCCTTCATGATTTCTTTTAATAACTTCTCTTTCCTGGCCCTCTCCCTTGTCTCCAGACCTCCAGAAGATGGGACTGCATGGAAGCAATAGGCTTAAAGAGAAAAGTGGGTGGAGGGGATGAGCAAGAGAATGAGCATGGTTCTGTTCTGATGAACACATAATAAACAGAATTTTGGATCTCGATATTGTTCTCAAATTTCTTTCCCAGTACCTGAAAGTGCTTCTCCTGCATGGTGCAACACCAGGTACTTAGAAAAGCATGGTAATATGCATTGGAAGTTAGACTCTGCTTTGCGATATAATGATAGTCCATGGTAGTACTCTGCAAGAGGAGGACTTACAGCAGACCCATGCCTACAAGATAGGGAATGCTTAAGAAAAAGTGGAGAGTTCCTGCAATTGAAAGTGTAAGCCAAGCATTCATATGAATGCTTAGTTTGTGGAATGAGCTGACACACATGGCAAAGATTCCTCAGTGAAACACATCCTTGGTGCAGGCATGACACACTGAACTCAGAAGTTGTATTGTTTTTAGTTTCAGGAACATCTGGGAGCAAGGACAGGGAACCCAGCTATGTGACAGCAGCACTGGGGAACACATGGAGTCACAGCGTCAACACCAGGCTCATACTACAGTATCATGACTTGCACACAAGACAGGTGAGGAACTTATCAGGAAAAAACAGTAAAAATTGAGTGCTCAGAGCCTCATAACCTGTGCTCTAGGGGATGGGCTCACTGTGAGCTGGCTCAGAGAGGGCTCTGTGAGAACGCTGGCCCCTTATGCTTGGGGTTATGGTTTATGGAGTGCATTGGCACCATGTTTTTTTGGATAGGGGCCATTCCTTGAGTGCTCTGATACTGTGTGTTCTGGAGCAGGGATGTCGTTTTCTGAGTGACTTGGTACCTGATGTTCTGGAGATGGAGGGTTGTCCTTTGAGAACCTTCCCACTCAGTGATCTTTGGGGCAGTTCTCCATGTGCCCTGAACTCTGTATACTATCTGAAACTCCTATAGTTTTTGCACCAATCTGCAAGTGAAATTTTCCTGTCTCCACCTGCAGTAATAGCTTTTGACTGCAAATACGGTGAAAATTTTCCAGGAGTATTTTTGCAATAGCGAGAGAACTCTCCATTTTTGCTGAGAAATGTTATGATGTGCAGTGAAGTGCGGTAGAATTTTTTGCTTGCAAAAATCACCTTTTTCATTTTTGAAAAAAACAATGAAAAATTGAGATTCAAGACATAATAGGTTTGTTTTTTGAGAGGCCAGCACAAGTCATGATGTAATATATTCCCTTTGGATGTCTGTGTGGTTGGACTTTCTTGGTTTTGCATGTTTCATTATTACGCACTGTAACTCTTTCCAAAGATCCTGCTACTCTTTCTAATGTTACTGATTTCCTGTTCCTTAAAGTCAGGGTGTTGTCGGAAAAATGACTATGTAAAACTTGCACCTTCTTATTTCTCATATTTGCTCCCTATATGTCTGCCAGTCAGAGCTTCTGATTTTACAGCCACAAACCAATGGTTCCTTCTGCTAGCTGACCAGGGCCCATACAGCTATAGGAGAGTGATTCTACCATGCACATAATCAGTGAAGTTCTCATTTCAGCATCCTTATTCCTGGGGATGATGTACAGTGTGAGGCAGAAAATTCAGCTGGATTCTCAAATCCCAAGTTGAATTTGTATCAAAGACAGGTAGAAAAAGAATCTTTTGACATATAGAGTGGGCAAATTTACTTTGGAGTCATTGAAAAGTAAATTTGGAACCCAAAATGTCATTTGTACAGAAACACATTTCTGAATACAGCTGCTCTTTAAGTTCTCCCTAGTTCTGCTTTACATTCTGTGCTACAGGGAGTTCTGGTCCCTCTAGACATGTTGTGAAAGGTAGAAAGAAGCCAATTGTGTCCTGGATCATTTTAAATGAGATTTGCAGCGGGCTGGGGTGACTGGGTTTAGTACTGCTTTATAATGTACAAAGCAGGCTAAGTAGGCTAAACATTCTGCTGTTTTCACCTGAGAGAAATTCAGGGTATCAAGTCAGGTCTTCCCTGACTTTGCTGGAGAACTCATGGAAATGTGTAGAAGGTGTTTCCTTAGCCCTTAATTGAACCTTTAACAAAGAGCTTTTCTCCTGAGTGCTTTAGTTGAATAGATGTTTAACAAAAACAAAACATTTGAGCCAGTTTGAATTGTTAATTATAATTATTAATAATTATTATCATCATCGTGCCAATAAGTCCCAGCCATGGATAATCATTCCCCATCTCAGTTAATTATGTGTCATCTCCTTGGTACTTATGATGTCATATCCTCGTATTCCTCCAGCCACACCCTGACAAGAACTGAATTTATGTGTAAAAATCAAAAATCCATAAAACACATCCATGAGGGGAGAGGGTCCCATAGCCCAGGCTCCAACCCAAGCCTGAATGTCTACACTGCAACTTCATAGCCTCACGGCCCAAGCCTTGCAAGCCTGAGTCAGCTGACCCTGGCCGGCTGTGGGTGTGTTTTTGCAGTGTAGACATAGCCGAAGAGCACAGCCTGACTTTCAGATGCCACGTGGAGCTTGCTGTTAGGAAAAATCTTGGTTCTTGTGACCTGAACAGATTTGTTATCAACATTAGTGAGACAAAAATGCAATTTGTAGAGACGCTTTTCAGATTAGGACCACACTTTAAGTATTGATTTCCACTACAATCCTGGGACCAAACAAATCTCATGCTAAACGTGGGGCCAGAGTATCCCTACAAGGGTTCCAGATTAAATCTTGGATTTCTGCTGCTGTAGCTGGAACAGGCTGTCGGTTAGTGATATTGACAAGCATTGCTGTTCTGTTAGATCAGTTTACCTTAGCTTTAGCCATGAAAGTAAGTAGTGTTATGGCAAAGGTTTGAAAGTAACAGATATGATAGGGTTAGTTTGAAGAAATAACTGTTAATCCTCTTCATCACAAGTATCACACTTTTTTCTTTTGCAGTTAGATATGTTTAAAATTAGAAAGTTTTGTGAAACACCCTTAGTGTATACTGGAAGCTGTAGTCCAGTACACAGCAGCCGCATCACTGGGCAGACCTCCAGCTAGATCACCATGGCATACCACATCATCTCCCTAAAAAGATGGAGGGCATGTGGGGTTTCCAAAGTGCCAAAGTAGGACCTGGGCATCAGATAGAGGGTTTGCTACCCTGGGAAGGTGGCATGATGACCTGTGGCTGGACCCGGTTCAAAATCCCTCCTGCAAACAACAGGAGATCCTTTCTGGCATAGAAGAAAAACCCTGTTTGGGGAAAAAAGTCCTGGTTATTTATTTTAGAGCACCAACCCAGGGTAAAAATGTCTTCATAAAGGCTCTCAGATCCTCAGTTTACCTATTGAAAACAAGGTTTACGATACAAAGTAAGCAAAGTAAAGTGCATACGGTTATAGTCGTGCCTCAAGAAGTGAAAAGTAATTTTCTTTTGGCAGCCAACTTCCTATGATACTGTCCTCTGTATAAGTGCTCTTTGAAAATTAGAGGCATCTGTCCTGCATCGATCCCTTGAGTTCACTCAGACAAGGGAAAAATCAGCACCTGAAAGGCAGAGGACTGTATGGCCAGATTCTATCAACTCAGCAAAGGAGTGGTGTCCTTCCTAGTATGAAGCTAGCATAAGTGAGAGAGGATCCATAACTAGGACAAAGAGATTTCCTAAAGCATAATAAAGAGGCTGTGTTTTGGATTGAGGTAGGACTTTCACAGCCTAGACCAGGTGACAGATTGCAGTTTTCTTGATTCAGGTAAAAGTGTTGCAATTCCACAAATCCATTGTGACTCATAAAAACAAGCACAAGACTTCCCTTAATCAAAGTGATACCAGACATAACTTTCAGGGTGTCCTTGGTTACAGACCAGCTGTTCTTTTGCTGGTTTGCTTAGTACTGTATGAATAACATTCCAATCTTGTGACTATCAGACAACCATTATCTTTGGTGGAGGGGTGGAGATATATAATGAAAAAATGACTTTCAAAAAATTTTGGGGGCGAGTCTTCCAGACTGTATATATGTTTGTCTACATGCCGTGTGGTTGTAGCCATGTCAGTCCCAGGATATTAGCGAGACAAGGTGGGTGAGGTAATATCTTTTATTGGACCAACTTCTGGTCAGATATTACGTCACGCACCTTGTCTCTTTAGATGTTTGTCTGTCATTCCACCGATGACTAAGGAATGATCATTAAACATACTGCAGAACCTACAGTATTTTTATTCTACAGCCACTGGAGCAAAAGTTAATTAACTCAATTCTAAGGAATTTGCTGATAGCAAATGAGGGGATTGAGATAAATTAGTGTCAGGCTGGCTTTTTCTCAATAAGAAGGAGAGAAAGCAAATAAACCACATTGTATTTGCAGAGAGGAGAGGAAATAAGTGCTAATCACAGGGGGGAAATGTGTGGTTAATACTTTTTTTAAATCTGCATTAGTAAACTGGAGTATAATGAATATAGTGATTATATTTTCAAATGGTGTCAAATTTAAGCAGGTGTGCAAACAGAGTGGAGGATTATTGCCCCAAATTACAGAGGATTCTGGATATTTTAGAGAGATGGACATATTTATTGCAAGTTATGGAATGTTGAGATTTAATCTAAAGAAATTGAGTATATTGAATTTACTGTGGGTGCGGATCATGACCAGCACAAGTACAATATAAACAATATAGTTGTGTATTCTAGTGTCTCCCCTATAAACTGGATCCCCAAATGCTTTATGGAGTTGCTATAACTAACAGTTACAAAGTTAATGATAAAAACAAATGATGTCATAGACAGGGATAGAAGATATTCACGGATGAGTCTTGAAATTAGTTTAGGGGATGTCTGTACAGCAAAGAAAAATCTGCGGTTGGCCCATGCCAGCAGCTACAGGTTCACAGGGTGTGGGCTGGGGGGCTGTTTTGTTGCTGGGTAGACTTCTAGGGTTGGGCTGGAATTTGGGCTCTAGGATACTGTGGGGTGGGAAGGTTCTAGAGCTCAGGCTCCAGCCCAAGCCCGGAAGTCTGCACAGCAGTGAAACAGCCCCATGCAACCTGAGCCCTGTGAGCCCAAGTCAGCTGGCCTAGGCGGGTTCTTCTTTGCTGTGTAGACATACCTTTAGGACAAATCAGAAACACATAAAGCTATTCTAGATGGCAGGATCTGCAGTGGTAAGACAGAGAAGAAGCCAGGTCTGTTTAAGTGAGGGGAGTAGAGAGAGAGCCAAGAGCTTTGAGGTGGGCATGGGCAAGCCCTTGGAGAGTTTCAAACACAACAGCAGATTTGAACTGGATTCTGGACTAGAACTTGAGCCAACGAAGGTGTTTAAGTACGTGGGGACTATGGTTGTGTCTCTTTGCATGTGTGAGGCAGGAAGTATCATTCTGCTCATGCTGCAGTCCGGTAAGCTGGGATTTGGGGAAGCCACAGAGAAGGAAATTTCAATAGTCCAGGCAAGAGGAGATGAAGCCCAGGATGAGGATTGCAGCAGAAGTGTAATTCAAAGCATTGACATGCCCAAGTGTACATGTACAGACTAAGTGTCTTCTAGTGGCCTAGATCTGTGTGGGAAATCCCAGCTGACATCCACCTGAGTACCATATACTGATCGAGGACAGCATATGGCCCAGTA